ACCTTTTCATTTTTCATGGAGAAAACTCCCCATTTTCATCATTATCCCTAAAATCCACAGTTCTTATGTAATACGATATCTCAATCTTGATTCGTCAACAAAGTGACAATTTCCTCCCTCTATTGTTCTTATAGTTCTCAATCTTCAAACTTCCGTTGTGTAAAAAAGTCAGGGTCCGGGGCTTCGCCCCGGACCTTGACTTACTCAAAATTCCTTTGGTGAAAATCCTACCCTTTCTTCGCTCATTAATGAAGGTGACCAGAGCCGTGGCTCTATGTATCTAACCTATGCAAGACATTATTGTACCTGATAGATACAACTCGCGCAGCTACCAAATAATCCCAACAGGATAAAGCGAATCCGTGATCTCAACCTACCGTCTCCGTGTAAGTCTCTGGGGAACTAATATGTTAATCGTAAACAGCATGATAAGTGATCCCACTAGGCTACAGTTAGATTAAGGTTTCAAGAGTCAGAAATGGCGGCATAATGTCGAGTAAAACGGGAAAATAGCAATCGCTTGTATTCCATTTGATATTCTTACCACCGGGAATAAATAGACGCTGCAATTTTGTTAAGTAGCCTGCTGAAAAGATATCAAATTCCATTTTTTACTTTAGGACCATGATCGGTTACGGAAAAGGGATGGAAGGAAAGGGGATGCTAAAACTACGAATCAATGTGAAAATGGACGAGTGGGATTATCTGACACGGTTGCATATACCATATCTCTCCGGCACGGTTCCTCTTACTGTAGCGTCGCAGTGGGTAAAGGAGACAGCATTTCGGAAATGATCAATAAATTCAAATTATTTTGAGTTTTTTTTCAATAATCAGAAAACGTTCTGCAACAGATAGTTCAGCACATGTAATTGGTATCTGCTATCTACGTTTTGTAAGACAGCAGGAGATTATGATGCGGAATGGAGATGAAATTCGTGATTAGAATATCGAATAATCGCTAGGTCGAACGCAAATCTGTGACTCTCACTCCCTACCGCTCCCCTACCGTACCCTCACAGTATGGCTCTACCGTAGAAAATAGGCATGATTTCTATTAGTAGCACGCCAAACGACCTTACTGAATAAAGCTGCAAGCTTCCCCATTGGTGTTCTTAAGTCGGTGCTTTTGTGCCATGTAATTTAGCCATCAAAAGCAATATATTCAAGATCAGATTCCGTTCTTGTAAAAAGCAGTAATTCTTTTCTGCGGCCCTACACAAGTCCAGATTATAAAATTTCTGCGGCAATCTGGGGATTGGGAAGGTGATTTCAAGAAGGACTGAGTTTACTTACTGCTTATAGGACTCACTATTAGCCAGTATATTTGAAGAATTCCACTTCTGACTATACACTTTCAACCTTAGAAGGCGAAGGAAATGAGCTTGCAAACTCATCAACGTTGCTCTGCGGTAGCATAAGTTTGACGACATTTTTTTGAAGAACTTCACACGATAGAAGT